TTTTTTTTTTTCATCTAATCTTTATTCATAATTCGTAAGTATCGTTTGTCGTAATCTCGGTGAAATAAACAATCAATCTTAGTTATTTGAAAAAAAAAAACAAAATGAATTGATAGTTATCACGTATAAGAAATTTATATTTATAATAAAAGATATTAAATTTATTTTGGTTGGGATGTAGCCTAGACGTGGCCACAACCCAGGCTGGTGGGCCTCAAATGTCGGGCCCGTAATTGACCCGACTATATTTAGGGCTGGTTCAGTGAGCCAGCCCAATCCGACAGTTCTTTGAATTTTTGTTTTTAAAAAAATAAAAAATAGAAAAAGGTAAAATTATATATGTGAGATGTGACCCGTAGAAAAACCCGAGCCCAGCCCAAACAGGTCAAAAAGGAGTACAACACGACCCGTAACCGGCCCTTAAGGGGTTCCGAGCCGATTCAAAAATCGGCTAGGGCGGGCCGGTCCAACCGTGGCCATGTCTACTGTAGCCTAGCCATTGGTCTGTAGTTTTGTTGGTTGGCCCAATTGATCCCAACTAATACAATAATTAGCATACACAATATTCTCACGTGCTCAGTTGTCACTCCTTTAAATTCTCCATAACTCTATACCTTGTAATATATACACATTAAATCAACGATCACACAACCAAATCTGGCTCCATCTATCTCTTGAGCATCCCTGGACCTAATTTATAAAGTCAAACAACTTTGAGATCCTTAATCTTTTTCCCCCCAATTGAAGGGTCAACGTCAGGGCACCACCACCTTTTAACTGGAAAAAAAATCACAATTTGCACTCATTGAGGCTCTCCACTCCCCTTATATATGTCCCTTCGGGGACATCCGATAAAATTGGAACGATACAGAGACGATTAGCATGGTCCCTGCGCAAGGATGACACGCATAAATCCACTCCCCTTATATATATATATATTGGTCTCTCTACATTACAATGAGGTTATAATAAGAGTTGTTCATCCAAAGTGAAAAGCCATTTTTGATAAAATATTTTGGAGCAATGAAAGCTAGCAGCACTCATGTGGCCTCTCTTTACCTCCTCTCACTAATTTTAGCACTATGGCTTAGACCCACATTTGCCACCAAAAAGGTAAAGCATTTATTAGCTTCATTGATTGATTGGCTTCAATAATAGAGCACAATTTGATGACTTTATTGTATCTTTTTTTTTTTTTTTTTTTTTT